AATGGAACTTAACTGAGTCTAATGAAACTAGATTTAATCTAATGGAACAACCAATCTAATACATAATAATCTTAATGGAGTTAACTTAATATAATGGAACTTATTTAATCTAATGGAACTGAACTTAATATAATGGAACTGAGCTTAATTTAATTTAATTTAATCTAATGGAACTCAACAATGGAACTGACCTTAATTTAATCGAATTGAACTTAATTTAATTGAACTTAATTTAATCTAATGGAACTAAAAGATAATCTAATGGAACTTAGCAATTTTATAAACTTATAGCATTTTTACTTGTTCTAATAAAACTTAATCAATAGAGGTTAATTTAATCTAATGGACGTTAACAATCTAAAACTAATATTCAGTAGCATCCATTTTTTACTGACTAACCCAAGACTAACCTAACCTAACCCAAGACTAGCCTACTATTGAGACTAACCTGCTTTTCTAACCCAAGATAACCTAACCTAACCCTAGCAACCTAACCCAAGACCTAACTAACCCTAACCCAAGACTAACCTATCCTAACCCAAGACTAACCTAACCAACCCCAAGACTAACCTAACCTAACCCAAGACCTAACCTATTTAACTAAGACTAACCTAACCTAACCTAAGACTAACCTCAACATAACCTAAGACTAACCAAACCTAACTGAATAACCTAACCTAACTATTTAAGACTAACTTCAACCTAACCCCAAGACTAACCTGCACCTAACCCAAGACTAACCTAACTAACCTATTTAAGACTAACCTAACCTAACCTAACAACCAACCCCAAGACTAACCTATTATAACCTATTTAAGATAACTACTTCTATTGAAGATAACCTAACCTAACCTAGACCTTCTAACCTAACCTATTTAAATTCTTCTTCCTAACTGAAGACTAACCTGCTTCTTCTATTTAGACCAAGCTTCTAACCTAACCTAAGACTAACCTAACTCTTCCAAGACCTAACCTAACCTAACCTATTGAAGACCCCAACCTAACCCAAGTTAACTAACCTATTACGAATAATCTAACCTAACCCAAGACAACCCATTTAACCTATTTAAGACTAACCTATAACCCTAACCTAAGACTAACCTAACCTAACCCTAACGAGACTAATCCTAACCTAACAAAGACTAACCTAATTTAACTTCTTGAGCTAACTTCTTCTTCCTAAGACTAACCTAACCTAACCTAACCCAAGACTAACCCTAACCTAACCTAAGACCAACCTAACTCTTCCCAAAATTCTTTCCTAACCTAACCCGGCTTTTACCTTACATAATCTCTCCTGGGAAAACCTATATATATTTAACATTACAAGAAATATATCCCCCACCAAAAAAAAATGTTTTTGAGATCTCCCCCAGGGCTGTTGATTTACCTCACCTCTGACCCTCTTCCCTTCATGTCAGACCATCTATTGTATCATTCTGCCTCTTTTATCTGATTATATCCAGAGTCAGTAGTTAAGGAACTCCTAGTTTAGCCCCGCCGCCTCTTTACGGTCACAGTCACCTTTACGTCCTCTAACGTCACTATCCTACAACTGTTTTAACTGTAAGATACCGACCTCTTGTGACACAGCTACACATTTCCGTGGTTGACCAGAAGTGTGCAGTATCAGCTTGGTCTGGGTCAGCTTGCTGCCGGGTGTGCCCAGCTCTGCAATACACGGATGAAACCAACATTATGTTTTGTAGTTCATTATATACTGTATATTGTGCAGTAAATTGGCTAATTTATTTTAGATGTCGTTTACTCACATGTGAATTATGATGCCTTCCATAATTTAGTTTTGTTTATCATTATTTTATCGTTTTTATTCGCTATTGTTTTTATATATATATATATATATATATATATATATATATATATATATATATATATATATATATATATATTCATCGTCGAAAATGTGTGGTGAGGTGAAGTCGTGTTGTGGTGTATGAAGGGGGGTGGTGGTGGTGACGTTTAAACAAAGAGCATCAGCGAGGGCTCATCACTTGGGGTTGTTAGTGTTGGGTGGCGGGGCGCGGGAGCATCAGGACCGTAAAAGTCATCTCTCGCTGAGATTGGGTTCTGATGGCGCTGGGGGAGAAATAGCTTGCTCTTTGATTGGCTTTGTTGGGAACATTATTCTGGTGTGTCGGAGGCGTCTCAGCCTCTGGTTGACCGGCCGGAGCGGCCGTCGCCGCCGCCACGACCCATATCTTGTTTTTTGCTGGTGATCTGCCTCTTGAGCCTCTTACCCCTCCTTATGGCTGATAAACCTCCCTAGTGCCTCCTGATTTATGGCTCATATACCGGTTCTAGTGTCTTTGTACTTGTATGCGGCTGATGGTTCTCTCCAGTGCCCTCACGGCCATTGTCTCTAATTTATGGCTAAAAAGTCCCATCCATTTTCTTGTTAAGATTCATCGGTGGCTTTACCCTATAATTATAGTTGTGTTCGTCTGAGTGGTTTATTGATTATCTCTACTGACTCGGGAGCCATCTAATGTTAACAGATGGTTAGTAAATCTCACTAGTGTTGTGCGTTTTGCATCGGCTTAACGTCCTGCCAGCTATTTATATATATATATATATATGTATGTATATATCAACCTCAACCCGCTTGATTCGAACCCGGCCTATGTTCCATGTCTGTGACAGGGACTTTACCTTCTGGACCACCAGGATACAAAAGCAGTCCTAGACTCTTATATTTCACACAAAGCCTGTTCAACGAGCTTCTGGCGTGGTGAAACTCTAATGGGGACTACCCGTATTACGTAGGTGGTCGATAACGTTTTACCAAATCTTGATTCAAAACACGAGGATCATATATATTTTTTGGGCTAATGGGAAATAAATAAAATTAATATATATATATATATATATATATATGTATATATATATATATATATATATATATATATATATATATCGTAAGAAAAATTACAATGTTGTAGGGTGTAGGTTGTCACCACCAGGGTGTAACAACATCCTCCATTAGAATCTAAAGGAGAGTGTTGGTGTACCATCCTACATCACCGTCCTCACCTGAGTGTTGGGACAAATAGCTTTGGTCTTTATATACGAAGTCTCCTGACGCCCAGCCTGCTGGTAGCCAATCAGCAGAGCAGGACAGAAGCCAACGTGTCAGTTATTTAAATTTCCAAATGTCAGCCAACGGACGGTATGGTTTGAGGCGGCGTGAACTCACTCGGTAATTTTCCAAATATCCTGCAGTCGAGGATTTATTTATTTAACTTTAGTGAAATGTCTTTTAATCAACGTAAATTATTTTTGTGTTTCATATAAAAGGATTAGACGTGTTTCTGTCATCGACACCACATGGAATTATTTTAACTGGTCTTTTATAGATGTTTCATAGAAAATATTGATTATTGAATCATTTTCATCTCCGCTAGTACTTTCCCTCCTAATAATAATAATAATAATAATAATAATAATAATAATAGTAGTAGTAGTAGTAGTAGTAGTAGTAGTAGTATCCCCCCGTTTGGCCACCACTACCACCAGGATGACAACAAAGCCAGGAACTGTGAGACGCCCAATACTGAGGACTGACTTAGCGCTGTGTGTTGTGGCTACCTGTGTGGCGGACTACCTGCAGGCCGGAGGAACAGGCTACCTGCAGGCCGGAGAAACAGGCTACCTGCAGGCGGAGAACGGGCTACCTGCAGGCCGGAGGAACAGGCTACCTGTAGGCCGGAGGCAGGCTACCTGCAGGCCAGGAGACGGGCTACCTGCAGGCCGGAGAAACGGACTACCTGCAGGCCGGAGAGCGGCTACCTGTAGGCCGGAGAAACAGGCTACCTGCAGGCCAGAGAAACAGGCTACCTGCAGGCCGGGAGGAAGCAGGCTACCTGTAGGCCGGAGGAAACAGGCTACCTGTAGGCCAGAGAGAACAGGCTCCCTGCAGGCCGGGAGAAACGGGGCTACCTGTGGGCCGGAGGAACGGCTGCCTGCAGGCCGGAGAAACGGGCTACCTGCAGGCCGGAGAGAACAGGCTACCTGTAGGCGGAGGAAACGGCTACCTGTGGCCAGAGGAAACAGGCTACCTGTAGGCCAGAGGGAAACAGGCTACCTGTAGGCCGGAGGAACAGACTACCTGTAGGCCGGAGGGAACAGGCTACCTGTAGGCCGGAGAAACGGCTACCTGTAGGCCAGAGGAAACAGGCTACCTGCAGGCCAGAGACAGGCTACCTGCAGGCCGGAGAAACGGCTACCTGCAGGCCGGAAAACCGGGCTACCTGTAGGCCGGAGAAACGGCTACCTGGCCGGAGGCAGGCTACCTGCAGGCCAGAGAAACGGACTACCTGCAGGCCGGAGAGCAGGCACCTGCAGGCCGGAGGGGAACAGGCTACCTGCAGGCCGGAGAAACGGGCTACCTGGGCCGGAGAGCAGGCTACCTGTGGCCGGAGGAAAGGGGCTACCTGCAGGCCAGAGAACGGACTACCTGCAGGCCAGGAAACGGACCTGCATTCTCTTTTTGTTTTTTAACTATCTACTGTACGTGCAGGCTGGAGAAATGAAACTGAATGCAGGCCGTAGAGAGACTAGCAGGCAGGTCAGACACACATCCACACTGGCCACACACACACACACACACACACACACACACACACACACATGTTATTGTTTTAAATGTAAAGTGAATAACAAGTATTTTACAATGACCAAAATGTCGTCATTCATCTTGTTATTTATGAACAATTGTTTTTAGGTTTAATTGAGTATTTTACGCTTATTCGAGAGGTAGGTTAGGTTAGGTTAGGTGAGGTTAGCTTAGGTGAGGTTGATTAGGTGAGGTGAGGTGAGGTTAGGTGAGGTTGATTAGGAGAGGTTAGGTGAGGTGAGGTGAGGTTAGGTGAGGTTGATTAGGTGAGGTAAGGTGAGGTTACGTTAGGAATCTTCTAAGTCGTTAACTTCCAAATGTAGTAATTTAATCTTATGATGTACCGTGTGGTTAATATACAAGCGCGATGAGTCACCCGGAGTCACCAGTTAGTCACCATAAAGTCACCAATAGTCGCCAGAAACGCCAGGAGTCACCAGTTAGTCGCCAATAGTCGCCAAGAGTCGCCAGTTAGTCACCATAAGATACCAATAGTCGCCAGAAACGCCAGGAGTCACCAGTTAGTCACAATAAAGTCACCAATAGTCGCCAGGAGTCACCAATTAGTCACCACAGTCACCAAAAGTCGCCAGAGAACGCCGGGGTCACCAGTTAGTCACCATAGTCACCAATACTCGCCAGAAACGCCAAGAGTCACCAGTTGGTCACCAATAGTCACAATAGTCGCCAGTTAGTCACCATAAAATCTTAATAGTCGCCAGAAACGCCAGGAGTCACCAGTTAGTCACAATAGTCACCAATAGTCACCAGTTAGTCACCATAAGTCACCAATAGTCGCCAGAAACGCCAGAGTCACAGTTAGTCACCAGGACTGAGGCAACACATGGCTTCAGTTAACAAATTTTCCGTGAACTTTTAAGTTATGCCAAGAGGCGCCGCCCACCTACCACGGTCTGGACCTCACCCAGCGGCCTCTACCTCACCCAGCGGCCTCTACCACCCAGCGGTCTGTGACCTCACCCAGCGCCCTCTTCACCCAGCGGCCTCACCTCACCCAGCGGCCTCTACCTCTCGCAGCGTTCTGTCCTCACCCAGCGGCTCTACCTCACCCAGCGGTCTGTACCTCACCCAGCGGCCTCTACCACCCAGCGGCTCACCTCACCCAGCGGTCTGTACCTCACCCAGCGGTCTGTACCTCACACCAGCGGTGTACCTCACCCAGCAGCCTCTACCTCACCCCGAGGGCCTCTACCTCACCCAGCGGCCTCTACCTCACCCAGCGGTCTGTACCTCACCCAGCGGCCTCTACCTCACCCAGCGGTCTCTACCACCCAGCGGTCTCTACCTCACCCAGCGGCCTCTACCTACCCAGCGGTCTGTACTACCCAGCGGCCTCTACTCACCCAGCGGTCTCTCACCAGCGTCCTTCCTACCTTACCTAGCGGTCTGTACCTCACCCAGCGGTCTGTACCTCACCCAGGCCTCTACTCCTCACCCAGCGGTCTGTACCTCACCACCCAGCGGCCTCTACCTCACCCAGCGGTCTGTATCACCTCACCCAGCGGCCTCTACCTCACCCAGCGGTCTGTACCTCACCCAGCGGTCTGTACCTCACCCAGCGGCCTCTATCCTCACCCAGCGGTCTGTACCTCACCCAGCGGCCTCTACTCACCCAGCGGCCTGTACCTCACCCAGCGGTCTGCCCCCACCCAGCAGTCTGTACCTCACCCAGCGGCCTCTACCTCACCCAGCGGCCTCTACCTCACCCAGCGGGTCTGTACCTCACCCAGCGGCCTCACTACCCATGGCCTCACTCACCCAGCGGTCTGTACCTCACCCAGCGGCCTCTACTCACCCAGCGGTTCGTACTCACCCAGCGGTCTGTACCTCACCCAGCGACTCTACCTCACCCAGCGGTTCGTATCACCCAGCGGTCTGTACCTCACCGAGCGGCCTCTACTCACCCCAGTCTATAACTCACCCAGCGGCCTCTACCTCACCCAGCGGTCTGTACCTCACCCAGCGGTCTGTACCTCACCCAGCGGCCTCTACCTCACCCAGCGGTCTGTACCTCACCCAGCGGTCTGTACCTCACCCAGCGGTCTGTACCTCACCCAGCGGCCTCTACCTCACCCAGCGGTCTGTACCTCACCCAGCGGCTCTACCTCACCCAGCGGTCTGTACCTCACCCAGCGGCTCTACCCCACCCAGCGGTCTGTACTCCCTCACCCAGCGGCCTCTACGTCACCCAGCGGTCTGTACCTCACCCAGCGGTCTGTACCTCCACCCAGCGGTCTGTACCACCCAGCGGCCTCTACCTCACCCGGTCTGTACCACCAGGGCCTCTACCTCACCCAGCGGTCTGTACCTCACCCAGCGGTCTGTACTCACCCAGCGGCCTCTACTTCACCCAGCGGCTCCTACCTCACCCAGCGGTCTGTACCTCACCCAGCGGCGTCTACCTCACCCAGCGGTCTGTACCTCACCCAGCGGCTCTACTTCACCCAGCGGCCTCACTCACCCAGCGGTCTGTACTCACCCAGAGTGTCTGTACCACCCAGACTCTACCTCACCCAGCGGTCTGTACCTCACCCAGCGACCCTACCTCACCCAGCGGTCTGTACCTCACCCAGCGGCCTCTCTACCTCAGCGGTCTGTACCTACCCAGCGGCTCTACCTCACCATGGTCTGTACCTCATCCAGTGGTTCTGTTTCACCCAGCGGTTCCACCTCACCCAGCGGCCTCTACCTCACCCAGCAGTCTCTACCTCACCCAGCGGTCTCACCTCACCCAGCAGTCTCTACCTCACCCAGCGGCCTCTCACCCTCACCCAGCGATCTGTACCTCACCCAGGTCTGTACTCACCCAGCGGCCTGACCTCACCCAGCGGTCTGTACCTCACCCAGCGGCCTCACCTCACCCAGCGGTCTGTACCTCACCCAGCGGCCTCTACCTCACCCAGCGGTCTGTACCTCACCCAGCGGTCTGTACCTCACCCAGCGGCCTCTACCTCACCCAGCGCTGTACCTCACCCAGCGGTCTGTACCTCACCCAGCGCCTCTACCTCACCCAGCGGTCTGTACCTCACCCAGCGGTCTGTACCTCACCCAGCGGCTCCTACCTCACCCAGCGGTCTGTACCTCACCCAGCGGTCTGTACCTCACCCAGCGGTCTGTACCTCACCCAGCGGTCTGTACCTCACCCAGCAGTCTCTACCTCACCCAGCGGTCTGTACCCCACCCAGCGGTCTGTACCTCACCCAGCGGCCTCTATTTCACCCAGCGGCCTCTACCTCACCCAGCAGTCTCTACCTCACCCAGCGGCCTCTACCTCTGCCCAGCGGTCTGTACCTCTCCCAGCGGTCAGTACTCACCCAGCGGCCCCTACTCCTCACCCAGCGGCCCCTACCTCACCCAGCGGCCTCATCCTCACCCAACGGCCTCTACTCACCCAGCGGCCTCTACCCCACCCAGCGGCATCTACCTCACCCAGAGGTCTCTATCACCCAGCGGCCTCTACCTCACCCAGAGGCTCTCCACTACCCAGCGGCCCCTACCTCACCCAGCAGTCTCTACCACACCCAGCGGCCTCACCACCCAGAGGTCTCACCACCCAGCGGCCTCTACCTCACCCAGCGGCCTCTACCTCACCCAGAGGTCTCTACCCCACCCAGCGGCCTCTACCTCACCCAGCAGTCTCTCACCACACCCAGCGGCCTCTACCTCACCCAGAGGTCTCCTACTCACCCAGCGGCCTCTACCTCACCCAGAGGTCTCTACCACCCAGCGGCCTCTACCTCACCCAGCAGTCCCACCACACCCCAGCGGCCCTACCTCACCCAGCAGCCCCACCCCACCCAGCGCCTCACCACCCAGCACCTACCCCACCCAGCGGTCTGTACCTCACCCAGCGGCCTCACTTCACCCAGCGGCCTCTCATCACACCCAGCGGCCTCTACCTCACCCATGGTCTGCACCTCACCCAGCGGGCTCCACCTCACCCAGCGGTCCTGTACCTCACCCAGCAATCTCTACCTCACCCAGAGGCCTCACCTCACCCAGCAATCTCACTCACCCAGCGGTCTCTACTCTCACCCAGCGGCCTCAGCACCTCACCCAGCGGTCTGTACCTCACCCAGCGGTCTGTACCTCACCCAGCGGTTTTACTTTACCAAGCGGCCTCTACCTCACCCAGGCCCCACCTCACCCATGGTCTTGACCTCACCCAGCGGCCTCACTCACCCAGCGGCCTCTACTCTCACCCAGCGGTCTGTACCTCACCCAACGGTTTCTACTTTACCAAGCGGCCTCTCACCTCACCCATCTCACTCACCCAAGCGGCCTCTACTCCACCCAGGGCCTCTACTTCACCCAGCGGCCTCACCACCCCAGCAGCCCTACCTCACCCATGGCCTCTACTCACCCAGCGGCCTCATCTCACCCAGCGGCCTCACCACCCAGCGGCCTCACTTCACCCAGCGGCCCTACTCACCATGGCCTCACCCCACCACATGCCCCTTGTCACCCCAGCCCCCACCACCATGGCCTCTTTCTCACCCAAGCGGCCCCTAATTTCACCCAGCGGCCTCTCATTTCCACCCAGCGGCCTCTCACTTCCAACCAGCGGTCTCCATCTCACCCAGCGGCCTCTACTTCACCCAGCGGCCTCTATTTCAACCAGCGGCCTCCACCTCACCCAGCGGCCTCATCTCACCCAGCGGTCTCTACTTCACCGAGCGGCCTCTACTTCAACCAGCGGTCTCTACCTCACCCAGCAGCCTCTACCTCACCCAGCGGCCTATTTCACCCAGCGGTCTCTATTTCGCCCAGTGGTCTCTATCTTCCACCCATCGGTCTCTACTTCACCCATCGGTCTCTATTTCACCCTAGTGGTTCTTACTTCACCCTGCGGTCTCTATTTCACCCAGCGGTCTCTATCACCCAGCGGTCTCTATTTCACCCAGCGGTCTCTCCACCCCAGCGGTCTCTATTTCACCCAGCGGTCTCTTTCTTCACCGCGTCTCTATTTCACCCAGCGGTCTCTATTTCACCCAGCGGTCCTATTTTCACCCAGCGGTCTCTACTTCACCCAGCGGTCTCTACTTCACCCAGCGGTCTCCTATTTCACCCAGCGGTCTCTACACCCAGCGGTCTTCTACTTCACCCAGCGGTCTCTACTTCACCCAGCGGTCTCTATTTCACCCATCGGTCTCTTACTTCACCCATCGGTCTCTATTTCACCCAGCGGTCTCTATTTCCACCCAGCGGTCTCTATTTCACCCACTACTACCACAACTATTACCCCTCACTACCTCAACCACCATTACTACCACAATTACTACAACTACTACAACTACAATCACTATTATTACCATCACTACCACCACAACCTTTACTTCAACAACTACTATTTCAACCCCTCTACCACAATCACCACACCACCACCACTACTACCACCACAGCTACCACAATCACTACCATCACCACCAGATCTACCATAATCACTACCAATCACTACCACCACTACTACCACAGCTACCACAATCACTACCACCACCACCACTAATCTCACCACTCACACCACCACTACCACCATCGGCTTACTTAGATCAGATTAAATGATGTTTGGACCACTTCCATGTATGGGGAGAGGGTAGGAGGGTGGGTGGAGGGAAGGAAAATGAGGAGGGAAGAGGGAGGGAAGGAGGATGGAGGAAAGGAAGTAAGAGGAGGGAAGAGGGTGGGAAGGAAGGAAGTATGAGGAGGGAAGAGGGAGGGAGAGTGATGGAGGAAAGGAAGTAGGGAGGGAAGAGGTGGAAAGAAAGGAGAGGGAGGAAGAGGAGAGGAGGGAAGGAAAGAAGTAAGAGGAGGGAAGAGGAGGGAAGGAGGGAAGGAAAGAAGTAAGAGGAGGAAAGAGGGAGGGAAGAAGGAGGGAAGGAAAAGGGAGAGGAGGAGAGTGCTCATCCGTGGAGTTTATATTCTAATACTGTGATGGAGTGGTGGAGGAGGAGGGGTAGTGGTGGAGGAGGGGGTAGTGGAGGGAGGGTAGTGGTGGACGAGGGAGGGTAGTGGTGGAGGGAGAAAGGGGGTAGTGGTGGAGGAGGGGGGGTAGTGGTGGGGAAGGAGGAGGGTAGTGGTGGAGGAGGGAGTAGTGAGGGAGGGGGTGGGGTGGAGGGAGGGGGGGTAGTGGTGGAGGAGGGAGGGGTAGTGGTGGAGGGAGGGGGTAGTGGTGGAGGGAGGGAGGGAGGGTGGTGGAGGGAGGGGGTAGTGGTGGAGGGAGGAGGGGTAGTGGTGGAGGAGGGAGGGGTAGTGGTGGAGGGAGGAGGGAGGGGTAGTGGTGGAGGGAGGGAGGGTAGTGGTGGAGGGAGGGGGGAGTGGTGAGGGAGGGGGGTAGTGGTGGAGGGAGGGGTAGTGGTGGAGGAGGGGGGATAGTGGTGGGAGGGAGGGGGGGTAGTGGTGGAGGGAGGGGTAGTGGTGGAGGAGGGAGGGAGGGAGGTAGTGGAGGGAGGGGGGGGTAGTGGTGGGAGGGGGGTAGTGGTGTGTAGGGAGGTGGTGGTGGAGGGAGGGTAGTGGGTGAGGGAGATTTTGGGAGGGAGGGGAGGGTTGTGGAGGGAAGAGGGTGATGATGGAGGAGGTGGTAAGATGGGTAGAGGGAGGAGGAGGGGGAGGGTGAGTGAGGGAGGGCAGTGAGTGGAATCTCAGTTGTCTATCAGGTAGATGTGATGTCATCCCTCTCCTCCCTCTCACCCCTCCACTCCCTCACCCTCCTCACCCCTCCTCTCCCTCACCCACTCCTCCCTCACCCTCCACTCCCTCACCCCTCCACTCCTCTCACCCCTCCTCTCCCTCACCCTCCTCTCCCTCACCCCCCAACTTCCCTCACCCCTCCTCTCCTCTCACCTCCCCACCCCTCCTCTCTCCCTCACCCCTCCACTCCCTCACTCTCTCGACCCTCATTCCCTCCTCCTCCTCTCCTTCCCTCTCCTCCCCTCACTTCCAGGCCTAGCTTCTATAATGTTATGGAACATTTTCTTGTCACTCTGATGTGTGTGTGTGTGTGTGTGTGTGTGTGTGTGTGTGTGTGTGTGTGTGTGTGTGTGTGTGTGTGTGTGCGCGCGCGCTTTACGTCCACTGGCCACCAAATACCATCCTGATTCCACCACCCACCCCACTCGGCCACCAAACACCACTACAGTATATCTTGCCTTCCCACCACCCCACTCGCCCACCAAAACCATCACATCCTGCCTCACCCCACTCACCTCGGCACCAAAACACCATCACATCCTGCCACGCCCTCACCCCACTCGCCCACCACCATCACATCCTGCCTCGCCCACTCACCTACAAACGCCATCATATCCTGCCTCACCCCACTCACCACCAAACATATCATCCTGCCTCACCCACTAACCCCACTCGGCCACCAAACACCATCACATCCTGCCTCGCCCCTCCACCCACTCGCCCACCAATCACCACCACATCCTGCCTCGTCCACTCACCCACAAAACGCCATCATACTACTTCGCCCACTCAGCAAACGCCATCACATCCTGCCTCACCCACTCACCTCCTCGGTCACCAAACATACATCCTGCCTCCCCCACTCGGTCACCAAGCACATCACCACATCCTGCCTCTCCCCTGGCCACCAAACATCACCCCCTGCCTCTCCCACACTCAGCCTCCAAACATCACCACATCCTGCCTCTCCCACTCAGCCTCCAAGCATCCACATCCTGCCTCCCCCTCAGCCTCCAAACTATCACCACATCCTGCCTCTCCCTCAGCCTCCAAACATCACCACATCCTGCCTCTCCACTCCCAGCCTCCAAACATCACCACATCCTGCCTCTCCCTCAGCCTCCAAACATCACCACACATCCTGCCTCTCCCACTCGGCCACCAAACATCACCACATCCTGCCTCTCACTCCAGCCTCAAACATCACCAATCCTGCCTCTCCCCTCAGCCTCCAAACATCACCACATCCTGCCTCTCCACTCACCTCACCTCGGCTAATCACCACATCCTGCCTCTCCCACTCAGCCTCCAAACATCACCACATCCTGCCTCTCCCCTCCACCCCACTGGGCCATCAAACATCACCACATCCTGCCTCCACTCAGCCTCCAAACATCACCACATCCTGCCTCTCCCTCACCCCACTCAGCCATACCACATCCTGTCCTCCCCACTCAGCCTCCAAACATCACCACATCCTGCCTCCTCCCTCAGCCTCCAAACATCACCACATCCTGCCTCTCCCTCAGCCTCCAAACATCACCACATCCTGCCTCTCCCACTCAGCCACCAAAACTCACCACATCCTGCCTCCCTCAGCCTCCAAACATCACCACATCCTGCCTCCCACTCGCCTCCATACATCACTCTCCCTCCCACCCCACTCGGCCACCAAACATCACCCTGCCTCTCCCCTCAGCCTCCAAACATCACCCATCCTGCCTCTCCCACTCACCCCACTCGGCCACCAAACATCACCATCCTGCCTCTCCCACTCAGCCTCAAACATCACCACATCCTGCCTCTCCCACTCACCCCACTCGGCCACCAAACATCACCATCCTGCCTCTCCCCTCAGCCTCAAACATCACCACATCCTGCCTCTCCTCAGCCTCCAAACATCACCACATCCTGCCTCTCCCCTCAGCCTCCAAACATCACCACATCCTGCCTCTCCTAGCCTCAAACATCCACATCCTGCCTCTCCCACTCGCAAACATCACACATCCTGCCTCTCCCCTCCACTTACAAACACATCCTGCCTCTCCTCAGCCCAAACATCACCATCCTGCCTCTCCCACTCACCCCACTCGGCCACCAAACATCACCACATCCTGCCTCCCCGCCTCAAATCACCACCTGCCTCCCTCCCCACTCGGCCGCATCACACATCCTGCCTCTCCTACCAGCCTCCAAACATCACCACATCCTGCCTCTCCCACTCACCCCACTCGGCCACCAAACATCACCACATCCCGGCTCGCCCAAACTTGCATTAAATTAATTCCTTCTTTGTGGAAACGGTTTTCCAGATCTCCAGATTTCCAGCGGGAGTAATTAGATGCTGGAAATTTTCACTTTATGAGTTTCCAGACAAACTTTGTCGCTCATTTGATTTCGCTCATATGTGTGTGGACCTTCCCTCCCCCCTACCTCCCTCCCTCCCCTCTTCTCTCCCTCCCTCCTTCTCTCCCCTGCGTCCATCCCTCCTTTCCTACCTCCCTCCTTCCCTCCCCCCTTCTCCTCCCCTCCCACCATCCTCCTTCCCCTATGGATCTCGCTCTCCCTCCCCTCTTTCTTGATCCTCAGCCCTCTCCCTCCCTCAATCACGGCCCTTACTCTTCTTCTTCTTCCTCCCCTCCATGCCCTCTTCTCTCCACCCCTCTCTTTCTTCCCTTGCCCCTCACTTCTTTCCTTCCTTACCAATACCCTTCCTCGTTTTCCCTCTCCCCTTTCCTTCTTTACTCGTCCCTCCTTACTTTCCCCTCTCCTTCTTCCCTCCCCTCCTCTCTCTCATTTCCTCCCTCTCTGTTACTTTTTTACTCGCCTCTCTTTCCTTTTCCTCTGGTCCTTCTAATCCTCTCTCTCCTTCATTTCTCTCCTCTCCCTAACCCTTCTGCCCTCCTTCCACCCCTTACTCATTCCTCAAACCTCTCCTCTTCCTCCCTCATCCCTCTGCTCTCCTCACACCCCTCCCTCCTTCCTCCCAGGATTTAATCTTCTCTCACCCCTCCCTCCACCCCTCCCCTTGCTCTAACTTCCACCCCAACACCTAATTTCTCTCTCTCTCTCTCTCTCTCTCTCGTCCAAACTCTGCATAGACAACTTAAGGAGATCAAGAACAAGTGTAGCACTCATGTGACCACTTAACATCCTATAACGGTATTATTGTAATACTTCTGACACCTCCACCACTTATTTTTTGCCGACTTCCATGCGTTGACACTTCTGGGGCTTCTTGACGGGTACCCTTATCACCTGACAATTGTGGATACCCGACATATCCGCATTTTGAAACTTGTGGCCATTTGACAGTTGTGGCCACTTGACAGTTGTGACCACTATACAGCCTCTTCTTAACACTTGTGACCACTTGACAGCACTCATTTTTTACCTCTGACCACTCTCTTGAGAATTATGGCCACAGATAGGGCCACTTGATAGTTGAAACTTTTGTAACTACTTAACACACTCACCACTTGACACTTTTGTCGTTCACCGACACTTTCAATAATATACTTGACACTAATCCTGAACTAATATTAAGTGGGCTGGATAGTATGTGTTTTATTATTATTATTATTATTATTAATTATTTTTTTGTTGTGTTGTTGTTATTATTATTATTATCATCATCATCATCATCATCAGTAATACGACCCCCTAAGAGCAACAGTGGTCCATAAAATCACTGGACGTGGCCATTTACTTAAATTGTAATCTAAACTCACAAAGCTGCATTAATCACCTAAGGTTACTTTTAGCAGCAACAGCACTGTGAGCTACTTAAACACCTATGATTATTATTACTCAACTCAGTGGGCGAAGGAAATCCAAGTTCTGTCGGAAATTGCTGAAACTGAGCCACATGTTTGTATATGTGGCATTCACCCCCAGAGTCAAAAGTCGTTGGAGCTACCTGATGAGCTACCATACCTGAAATCGGATCTCTCCTCTGCCCTCTAGTGTAGGAGTCCACCAGGGTCGCCTTTATTCCAACACTAGTGAAACACAACTACCTGACCCCAGCAGAAAGATCACCCCTTGCACTCCCACTGAGACAAGGAGGAATGGGAATCACTAACCCAGAGGAGTTTGCTGCTACTGAACTCTGTCAAGCTCACGGCAGCCCTCACTGAACACATAATAGCTCAAAATGCAGCAAGTGACGAACAAACTGCACAATATTAGACGTTCCATTACGAAAGAACGGCAGCACACCCAAAGCGAAAAACTTTAGCAACTGATGCAACAACTTGAGGAAAAAAGTAGCTGTCGCCTCAAACTAGCAAACAACGTTACCAATAAGAGCAAAGGGCTTCAGCCTTAATAAACAAGAATTCATTGACACATTACTCTAAGGTATGTTAGGCCAGTAGAAGGCCTGTCACGCCATGGAGTAAAAGACTGGAATTATAGTACGCATGAGGTACAAGGGACCTCACAGAGAAAATGATGAAATATGCCTCGAAGTCGCTGTGGAACTGACGTTCTGACCTTCTCCCCATTGGACGGTGAGCGCTTCCTCCACCGGACTGCCAGCACAATCAACCAAGCCCGTGTGGACGTCAGTGGTCAAGGATTCTTGACAAAGGGACAGCGAGTCTTCTTTGACATTAAAATCTTCGATCCCCTGACCACATGCCACAGTGATCTGTATCTCGAGGCAGCACACAGGAATAACGTAGACCAAGGCAGCTTCACTCCCATGGTATTCATATCAGACGGGATGGCACCTAGTACAAGGTGCTTCTACACCAGACCGGCCGAGACCTTATCAGAACAGAATCAGCAGCCCAGAGGCCACGTGGCGGCCTGGTTGAGGTGTTACCTACCCTTCTATCTCTGCCCCTAAACCAACAACAGTCACAAAAATAAGACTATGAGGCAACAGTCGCTGCATAGATCTATGGCTTAACTAACTCAGCTCGAGTAGACACCTTTGTATTGGGATAGTTAGGTAATAAGGTGAAGAAGGTATGGCTATTGGGGAGGCTGGAGGCCATTTTAAAAAAATACCGAAAAAAATAAAAGCAGTAATTGAGGTCGTAGCAATAGTAGTAATAGTTATTGTAGTTGTAGTGAAGTATATTCAGTTTTGTCTCGTTAACATTGTATCTGTTAATTTACTTCATTTACCCAGAGATCAGGAGACTGTCCCTATACTGACCCCCACAAGATACAGGTCACCTCCTCCCCACCCCTGACCAGCCTAGGAGACACTACCCTCCACCACCCTGACCATCCTAGGAGACACTACCCTCCACCACCCTGACCAGCCTAGGAGACACCACCCTCCACCACCTGACCATCCTAGGAGACACTACCTCCACCACCCTGACCATCCTAGGAGACACTACCCTCCACCACCCCTGACCATCCTAGGAGACACTACCCCACCACCTGACCATCCTAGGAGACACCACCCTCCACCACCATGACCAGACACTACCCTCCATATCCTGACCATCCTAGGAGACACTACCCTCCACCACCCTGACCATCCTAGGAGACACTACCTCCACCACCCCTGACCATCCTAGGAGACACTACCCTCCACCACCCTGACCATCCTAGGAGACACTGCCTCCACCACCTGACCTCCACCACCCCTGACCATCCCAGGAGACACTACTCTCCACACCTGACCATCCCAGGAGACACTGCCCTCCACCACCCCTGACCATCCTAGGAAACACTACCCTCCACCAACCTGACCATCCTAGGAGACACTACCTCCCACCACCATGACCAGACACTACCCTCCACCACCCTGACCATGCCAGTAGACACTCACCTCCACCCCTGACCATCCTAGGAGACACTACCTCCACATCCTGACCATCCTAGGAGACACTACCCTCCACACCCTGACCATCCTAGGAGACATCTAGCTAAACACTGATGGGGGTCACTTAAGAAACAGTATATATAACAACTATGTTCTCTCTTGTAGGATTTATTTTATACCTTACCTGTTCCTCCCTCCCCCCATACTGCCTTTCCTCCGTACTACTTCCTCCTCCCCTCCCCTCCCCATACTGCCTTTCCTCCCGTACACTTCCTCCTCCTCCCCTCCTCCCCATACTGCCTTTCCTCCCTGTACTACTCCCTCCTCCTCCCCCTCCCCCATACTGCCTTCTCCCCGTACTACTTCCTCCTTCCCTCCCCTCCCCATACTGCCTTTCCTCCCTGCACTACTTCCTCCTCCCTCCCTCCCCCATACTGCCTTTCTCCCCCGTACTACTTCCCTCCTTCCCTCCCCTCCCCATACTGCCTTTCCTCCCTGTACTACTTCCCTCCTTCCCTCCCTCCCCATACTGCCTTTCCTCCCTGTACTACTTCCTCCTTCCCTCCCCCCCCCATACTGCCTTTCCTCCCCGTACTACTTCCCCCTCCTTCCCTCCCTCCCCATACTGCCTTCCTCCCCGTACTACTTCCATCCCTCCTTCCCTCCCTCCCCATACTGCCTTTCCTCCCCGTACTACTTCCCTCCTCCCTCCCTCCCCCATACTGCCTTTCCTCCCCGTACTACTTCCTCCTCCCTCCCTCCCCTCTGCCTTTCCTCCCCTGCACTACTTCCTCCCTTCCCCCCCCTCCCCATACTGCCTTTCCTCCCCGTACTACTTCCCTCCTCCCTCCCCTCCCCATACTGCTTTTCCTCCCTGTACTACTTCCTCCTCCCCCCTCCCCCCTCCTCCCCCATACTGCCTTTCCTCCCTGTACCACTTCCTCCTCCCTCCCCTCCCCATACTGCCTTCCTCCCTGCACTACTTCCTCCTCCTCCTCCCCATACTGCCTTTCTCCCTGTACTACTTCCTCCTCCCTCCCCTCCCCATACTGCCTTTCCTCCCGTACTACATCCTCCTTCCTCCCTCCCATACTGCCTTCCTCCCTGTACTACATCCTCCTTCCTCCCTCCCCATACTGCCTTTCCTCCCCGTACTACATCCCTCCTTCCTCCCCCTCCCCATACTGCCTTCCTCCCCGTACTACTTCCCTCCTTCCTCCCCCCTCCCCATACTGCTTTCCTCCCCTGTACTACTTCCCCCTCCTCCCTCCCCCTCCCCATACTGCCTTTCCTCCCCGTGTACTACTTCCTCCTTCCTCCCTCCCCATACTGCCTTTCCTCCCCGTACTGCTTCCTCCTCCCCCCTCCCCATACTGCCTTTCCTCCCCGTACTACTCCTCCTTTCCTCCTCCCATACTGCCTTTCCTCCCTGCACTGCTTCCCCCTCCCTCCCTCCCCCATACTGCCTTCCTCCCCGTACTACTTCCTCCTTCCTCCCTCCCCATACTGCCTTTCCTCCCGTACTGCTTCCCTCCTTCCTCCCTCCCCATACTGCCTTTCCTCCTGTACTGTTTCCTCCTCCTTCCTCCCTCCCTCCCCATACTGTCTTTTCTCCCTGGTACTACTTCCTCCCCTCCCTGTACTACTTCCTCCTTCCTCCCTCCCTCCCCCCCCATACTGCCTTCCTCCCCTGTACTACTTCCTCCTTCCTCCCTCCCTCCCCATACTGTCTTTCCTCCCCGTACTACTTCCTCCTCCCCCTCCCCATACTGCCTTTCCTCCCTGTACTACATCCTCCTTCCTCCCTCCCCATACTGCTCTTCTCCTCCCGTACTACATCCCTCCTTCCTCCCCTCCATACTGCCTTTTCCTCCCTGCACTACTTCCTCCTCCCTCCCCCCATACTGCCTTTCCTCCCTGCATTTCTCTCCTCCTCCCCTCCCTCCCCCATACTGTTTTCTCCTGTACTACATCCTCCTCCCTCCCCTCCCCATACTGCCAATGTATTGTTATCCTGTCTTGTGTACACACGTGTCCAAATGTGTGTCTGTGTGTGTGTCTGAGGTGTGTGTGTGTACGTGTTTATATTCTCAGATTTATGTGCATATGAACACACTGGCAAGTACAACAACAAACAAGCAAACACCTCTCTATCCTCCCTCCTGTCCTTCATCTCCCCTCTCTCCTACACCCAACCCTCCTTCTCTCCCCGTCCACCCTCTCCTTCTCTCCCCTGTCCACCCCTCTTTCCTCCTCCTTTTCTCCCTGTCCACCCCTCTCCTTTCTCTCCCCTGTCCACCCCCTCCTTCCTCCTCCTTCTCCCCTTCCACCCCTCTCCTTCCTTCTCCTTCTCTCCCCTTCCACCCCCTCTCTCTCTCCTCCAATCTCTCTCCTATCTCTTTCCCTCTCTACTCTCTCCTTCCCTCCTCCCCTTCTCCCCTCGCCTCTCACTCTCCCCCTCTCTCACCCACCTACCCCTCATTTCTTTCCTCACCCATCCCACCCTCGTTCTCTCTCCCACCCCGACTCTTCCCCTCCCACCCCCGACTCTTCACCCACCCCCTCTCCCCCACCCACTCTCTCCCCACCACCCCACGCCTCCCACAGATACTTGGGCTGGCTGTGGGGTTCTGGCCTGACATGTGATCATTTACATAGAAATTAAAGTAGGAAGGCCGGGTATTCATTTCGGGAATTGCCAAACAAAATTGAAAGTGGATTGAAAATTTCGGTCCTGAGCGAAGATTGCGCGCGATTTTAACAATGATATTTTTCACCATAATGCGTATATGGTGTTTTACTGTAAGCGTATGGTGGTGGTGGTAGGGGTTGTAGCGCTTAGGGTAATGTTTGTTATGCGTATGGCAATCACTGTAGTGCAGGTGGTGGTGGGGTTGTGCGCTGGTAGTGGTTGTTAGGCGTATGGTAGCCACTATAGTGTATGGTGGTGGTTGTTGTTGTTAGCTGTGTGTTTACTACAGTGTGTATGGTGGCTGTAGAGCGTAGTGGTGGTGGAGGTGGTTGTTAGGCTTATGGTGTTTACTGAGTGTGTATGGTGGCTCTGTAGAGCGCATGGTAGGTATGGTGGTGGTGGTTCGTAGGCTTATGGTGTTTACTACAGGGTGTATGGTGGTCACTGTAGAGCGTATGGTGGTAGTTATGCGTATGGTGGTGG